TTACTTGAAACCATTTATACAAGAGGAGTCCAAAGACCTGCTGTACTTAAATAACTTCTCACTAACTACTCCAGCGTGTATTACCTGATGTCACTATTTACAACAGTTTATTTACTGCTTTTCAGCCCAACTGAAATTGTAGGTAATTTAATTTTTGAACCTATAATCTGTAAGATTGTGATCAAAGACCCTTTCACAATTTTCTAAGCTTTTTCTTGCTTTCTCTAAAGTTGCTCTTTTTAAAAGTTTCTAGTAATGTATAAATCATAGTTTTATATTTAAATCTGAGCTACACTTTTGACTTGAAGTATTGTAATATATTTTATCAGTGGCTGCATAGAACTGGGAAATTTGAGTAAAGCATGGTATTGGGCAATAAGATAAAGCCTCCAGAATGGAGTGCACTGATATTGGAGTTTTCAGGGTGATTTCTCAGTGCTTAGAGTCTGATCCTGCACATAACTTGTACGTGTTCTGGTCGATGTCAGGCCTCATACCAGGAAATCTGCACAGCTGATCACAAGGAGGAGCTTTAAGTAAGAGGGTAAAAGGCTTTAAATCTGCAATGATATTTATTAAACATCCTCATGCAGATTGCAAAGGAACTTGCTGCTTTGTGTATCAAAGCAAAGACATTACCAAACCAAGTACCAGATACCTCAGATGACTGCTACAATAGGTCTATTTAAAAACCTATGTCCTTTTAGCTTTCTGAGTTCGTCATCTGATCAAAACATTTTGATAATAAACTGAAATTATGAGCCAAATGCAGTGTGTGTTCTTTACAGGAAACAGCAATAAAATAAAATTCTCTGCAAATAAGTGTCTACTTATTTGCCCCACAGGCAGAGGGAGATTCAGTTCCCAGTGTCCAGTGTAACCCTGCCCTCCTCCAGCTCCAGGCCATCCATCCTGCCATCAGTGCTGTGGCTGTCGGGGTGTCCCGAGCAGGGCCAGGAGCTGCACTGGGTGCTCCCTGTGGGTCCCTTCCAGCTCGGGACACTCTGTGCTCTGCATCCTCTGACCTGAGCAGGCCCCCAGGGCTCCTTCGTTACTTGCTTTGTTAGTAAACAAAACCCACAACAAACACATCCCGAGCTCTCCACACAGCTCCCAGGGTTGGCTCTGCACAGGAACGAGCCTCTCAGAGAAAGGGAGAAGCTCTTCTGCTTTCACCCAGGAACCAACATTCCCCACAGCTTTGTACAACACGGGTATTGTAAAAGGCAAACGTAGCGAATCCTGTGCCGCTGGCCCTGCTGAGGGAACAGAGCCACGGAGTGGCTCTGAGGGAGCCAGGAATGGGGCTGGAGACACACGGAGTGCCCGAGCCAGGCTGGGATCCGTCCCAGGGGATCAGGGCAGGATGGCAGAGCCAGGCTGGGATCCGTCCCAAGGGATCAGGGCAGGGATGGCAGAGCCAGGCTGGGATCCGTCCCAAGGGATCAGGGCAGGATGGCAGAGCCAGGCTGGGATCCGTCCCAGGGGATCAGGGCAGGATGGCAGAGCCAGGCTGGGATCCGCCCCAGGGGATGAGGGCAGGATGGCAGAGCCAGGCTGGGATCCGCCCCAGGGGATGAGGGCAGGATGGCAGAGCCAGGCTGGGATCCGCCCCAGGGGATCAGGGCAGGATGGCAGAGCCAGGTTGGGATCCGTCCCAGGGGATCAGGGCAGGATGGCAGAGCCAGGCTGGTCCCTGCACACCTGAAGGAATGCCCTCACCTTACTGTGGGACCCAGGAGGGTTCAGTTCCTTGCCCTGAGGGCTGATGCCCCATTACAGGGCAGGATTAAAGAATTCCAGACACACCCGTCAGTAACAAACACGGAGGGCTCCTACCTGAGGCGGCTCCGCGGCAGGTCCAGGTGAGCAGGGGCTCTGAGGGAACCGAGGTCCAGGCGGCCGAGCCCTGCCGGGCTCACCCCGGGCAGCCCGAGCTGGAGCAGAGCCCGGGAGGGCTCTGGGGCACCCTGGGGGCTCCTGCCGCAGGGAGGGGCTGCGGGGCCTGGGGACAGGCATCCCACCG